CGGGAACTGGCCTTGGGGCGGCAGGCAGGGTAAATCCGGTCCTGGCTGCCTGCTGAGGTCACATGATCATTTCCAGCACGGCCATGGGGAAAAAAACTGTCAGAGTCCATTAGAAAACGAGAATGTTCATAGCTAGTTGAAGCCTGAAATCGAAAGGTCATTATTACCATAATGGGGAGAAGATCTCACTGTTGGATCATCTGAGGGGGTCTGACTCAACCCATCGGGCTCCTCCTAAACCCAAAATGTTGGGTGGACCTGTGGGCTGACCTCCATTATAAGGCCTATTCTATAAGTGCTGTTCACTAACATCTCAGCTGTTTCCTTCACATTATTCACCCTCCTTCCTTTCTCATTGTAGGACAACCGCCTTTGGATTCCTGAACGCCCTTTGCAAGCTGGCCGCCGTCCTGGGAATAAGCATTTTCACCTCCTTTGTGGGAGTAGCTAAGGCGGTGCCCATCCTCCTGGCATCTGCCGCATTGGCGGTGGGTAGCTTTTTAGCCCTCAAACTGCCAGAAACACGAGGCCAGGTGCTTCAGTGAGAGGAGAAGAGGAATCAGATTTGTAGACACTGTGAAACGTCTTCTTTTTTTTTTTGTTCAGGTCCCTCCTCGTTTCCTCCTCCATAGAGTGTTGGCTTAAGTCCTATTCACATACATAGAGCAGTGACGGGTTATCAGAGAGGGCAATGTTTGCACTATTCTTAAATTCCGAGAAGTCCAGAGAACCATGGCCTATGGCGTAGGTCAACCTTTCTTCAACCTTCCTTCCGTAGAGGAACCCTTGAAATTCTTGTTAGGTCTCGGGGAACCCCTTGCTGAAAATGATGATATCTACAACTCGTGGAACGTTAGCTTAATTAGTGAGTTGAAGATATAATCATCAATGAATGAATTAGGAATCTAGTATTTGGGATTCGAGGCGAATCCCAAAACATCCCTCTGCCCTATACAACAGAATTGTTTTCAGTAATAATCATGTAAATAAAATAGAACAAATAATAATAGGCGGAAAAGATACTAACCCTGGTGGTCAGTGTAGTGCCCCATTACATTGGTGGTCAGTGTTGAGATGCCATCTTGCTTTGGTGGCCAGTGGACAGGTGTTCAGTGTTAAGATGTCCTCTTGCATTGGTGGCCAGTGGACAAGGGTTCCCTTACATTGGTGGTCAGTGTTGAGATGCCCTCTTTGCATTGGTGGCCAGTAGACAAGGGTTCCCTTACACTGGTGGTCAGTGTTGAGATGCCTTCTTTGCATGGTGGCCAGTAGACAAGGGTTCCCTTACATTGGTGACACCATTAGGTGGAAGTTTCATCCACCACTGCTCAAGGAACCGTTGCCAACTCTGCAGGAATCCAAGCATTACACCAAACCCTGATTGAGAAAGAATAGTCTAGAGAATGACTAGAGCCTGGATCCTGATCTATATTCTAGATCACACAAATAATTATGAAGCCCTTTTAGGTCACTCTTGACATCATATTAGCTCCAATATGGGTCATTAGTGTCTTCTGACTACATATCATTGATCTTTTGCATATCGTTAAAGTAGAATGGAAAATCCAGGTCACCCCATGACCCCATGTTCCTTTAAATGTGGTCACGATTCATCTTTTGCCTTGGTTGAGAAGGTATTGATAGGCCGTATCTCCCAATACTCGTCTTCCCATGGCACTTGATGTGTGAGGTTCCAAAACGGGTTGCAAAGCCCGTTCTTCTCTAACAATGGACAGAACTGTATTTTCCACAGCGTAGGTAAGTGGACTAATGGACGTCAGAGGTCTAGAAATGCGTCTGTTGTGTCCAGTACTGCACTTGCAGCTGCTATGTGAAATACAACTTTGCCATACGTGTCGGAAGGTGCATACAAGTGCTGGGGGAGGAGTCACATCTGAAGGGTTTCCATGTTCCCCTTCAAGCCCTACTAATTCTGAAACTTCAGTTCAGATCCATGTCAAAAGACTGGGACGTCCATCTTCTAGCTTAATCTTTGCCGGTGTGGACATCTTTACATGCCCATGCCACTTCTACATGGCATATGTAGAAGTGATAACTCCGTTCTGGGTGGCCAATAGAACGTTTAGTCATCTCTCACATCATGCCAAGGTCCAACCAGGGAGATCTGACCTCAACATCCTCACTGCACCATGTTTCCTAACTGCAATGATGAGCAACGCAGCTTTGCAACTTAGGCCCGAGTTCTCCAGTTATTCTCATAGAGAATCAAGCACAAGAGGTATTGACCACATTCTGAGCATGTGGCCCGAGAGAGAGCGGCGGGGGTTAAAGCCCAGATCTCCCCATTAATGACTGAACACACCTATGTCCACCCATGACCGAGTTATCAGATCTGGGTAGGCTTTCCCTTTATTATATGTGGCCATCTCCATCTGGTCAAGCCTGACTAGCCTACATGTAGACACTGTGAAACGTCTTCTTTTTTTTTTTGTTCAGGTCTCTCCTCGTTTCCTCCTCCATAGAGTGTTGGCTTAAGTCCTATTCACATACATAGAGCAGTGACGGGTTATCAGAGAGGGCAATGTTTGCACTATTCTTAAATTCCGAGAAGTCCAGAGAACCATGGCCTATGGCGTAGGTCAACCTTTCTTCAACCTTCCTTCCGTAGAGGAACCCTTGAAATTCTTGTTAGGTCTCGGGGAACCCCTTGCTGAAAATGATGATATCTACAACTCGTGGAACGTTAGCTTAATTAGTGAGTTGAAGATATAATCATCAATGAATGAATTAGGAATCTAGTATTTGGGATTCGAGGCGAATCCCAAAACATCCCTCTGCCCTATACAACAGAATTGTTTTCAGTAATAATCATGTAAATAAAATAGAACAAATAATAATAGGCGGAAAAGATACTAACCCTGGTGGTCAGTGTAGTGCCCCATTACATTGGTGGTCAGTGTTGAGATGCCATCTTGCTTTGGTGGCCAGTGGACAGGTGTTCAGTGTTAAGATGTCCTCTTGCATTGGTGGCCAGTGGACAAGGGTTCCCTTACATTGGTGGTCAGTGTTGAGATGCCCTCTTTGCATTGGTGGCCAGTAGACAAGGGTTCCCTTACACTGGTGGTCAGTGTTGAGATGCCTTCTTTGCATGGTGGCCAGTAGACAAGGGTTCCCTTACATTGGTGACACCATTAGGTGGAAGTTTCATCCACCACTGCTCAAGGAACCGTTGCCAACTCTGCAGGAATCCAAGCATTACACCAAACCCTGATTGAGAAAGAATAGTCTAGAGAATGACTAGAGCCTGGATCCTGATCTATATTCTAGATCACACAAATAATTATGAAGCCCTTTTAGGTCACTCTTGACATCATATTAGCTCCAATATGGGTCATTAGTGTCTTCTGACTACATATCATTGATCTTTTGCATATCGTTAAAGTAGAATGGAAAATCCAGGTCACCCCATGACCCCATGTTCCTTTAAATGTGGTCACGATTCATCTTTTGCCTTGGTTGAGAAGGTATTGATAGGCCGTATCTCCCAATACTCGTCTTCCCATGGCACTTGATGTGTGAGGTTCCAAAACGGGTTGCAAAGCCCGTTCTTCTCTAACAATGGACAGAACTGTATTTTCCACAGCGTAGGTAAGTGGACTAATGGACGTCAGAGGTCTAGAAATGCGTCTGTTGTGTCCAGTACTGCACTTGCAGCTGCTATGTGAAATACAACTTTGCCATACGTGTCGGAAGGTGCATACAAGTGCTGGGGGAGGAGTCACATCTGAAGGGTTTCCATGTTCCCCTTCAAGCCCTACTAATTCTGAAACTTCAGTTCAGATCCATGTCAAAAGACTGGGACGTCCATCTTCTAGCTTAATCTTTGCCGGTGTGGACATCTTTACATGCCCATGCCACTTCTACATGGCATATGTAGAAGTGATAACTCCGTTCTGGGTGGCCAATAGAACGTTTAGTCATCTCTCACATCATGCCAAGGTCCAACCAGGGAGATCTGACCTCAACATCCTCACTGCACCATGTTTCCTAACTGCAATGATGAGCAACGCAGCTTTGCAACTTAGGCCCGAGTTCTCCAGTTATTCTCATAGAGAATCAAGCACAAGAGGTATTGACCACATTCTGAGCATGTGGCCCGAGAGAGAGCGGCGGGGGTTAAAGCCCAGATCTCCCCATTAATGACTGAACACACCTATGTCCACCCATGACCGAGTTATCAGATCTGGGTAGGCTTTCCCTTTATTATATGTGGCCATCTCCATCTGGTCAAGCCTGACTAGCCTACAGATGCGACTGCTCATCAACACTTGGTAGCTAGTGGATATGCTGGTTGGTAACGTGCCCACAGGCATAGGATGATCATCATTAAGACGGCCACTTATAGTCAGAAGAAGAAACAACCATAGGGATGCTTGGTGATTCCACCTCCTGGCCAACTGGTCTCAGGGACAGAGTCAGTTAGCTTGGTTAAGATTTTATTTTCCAACTGAACAATATTGTTTCCCCCATTGAGATAGGATGGGAATGTTCTCCTCCATAGAGATGAACACGTAGGATCTTAATTGCATGGCTGACCACCATGTGATGTCTAAAGGCCACTTCAGTGGCCTCCCCTTTAACCAGTCTCCCGGTACAACCCTCCCCCCCTCCCCCCCCAGGGTGCACTGTTATCCACTGACATGGACAACCCCCTCAGATCTACAGAAAGCACAAACATTAAACAGAACCTGAACATTCCATAAAATGAAGATACATTCCATGCCAGTGTGGTCTCCATTTCAGTCCAAATGGAGGTCTACAGTGATTAAAGCACAGTTAAAAGAAATGACCGCATAAGCGTGCCAGGAGAGACCCTGCATCCAAAATTCCCCACCTGAAAGTCAAGTCTAACCTTTAATATACATAAGAATACCCAATGCCCATTGCCCAAGTAAGTGTAAACTGCCCATTAGGGCACATCTCCAAGTTTGCTCCAAGATCTGCAACTGTGCCAAGCGTGACATCACCGGATCCATTTTTGTTTGTTACTCGGCCTTTAAAAACCATAACCCACCAGGGCTCTGCCGCAGAGCAGCTCCCGAATTAAGACTCCACCCATGAATGAAGAACTTTTCAATGTGTCGTATTTGTTGTAAATGTTCAAAGGCAATAGAGTCGGGGAAAAAAAAACGATGTTTGATGGCCCCATGATAAAACTTCAACGTGACCATGTTTGGTGTATACAGTTCAAAAGGCTTATTTACCTGTCAGAGGCCCGTTTTTTGCCCTGGCTGCCCGTGAAAATATTGTACCTCCGAGGCTTTTATTTATTTCCTGTGTAGCGCGGAGGATTAAGTACCCCGTGGTGAGATGTTAATATTCCGATAGGTCCCTCAGAAGTCACCCGTACAGATCTTCAATGCTTTGGTAGAACCCCCTATTGTACAAGAGTTGTAAGAGTTGGACTTCTGTTTTATAACAGGAACCTCTCCTGAAGGTGCGTTCCACCTAAAGAGACCTTGTTGAGGCCTCTGATCCCCCTCCTGCGGTACGTGGCAGCCGCCATGTTGTCTCCAAGCACACTGCATGCCTTTTGAGGAAACACATTCTGAGCTGCCAGAATAGTTACATTTATACATAAAGTATATATATAAATAAATATATATATCTAAAGAAAACCTCAAATCTAAATGTAAAGACAAAAAAAATAGGTCTATTTATATAATATAAATGGTAAGGTCATCACCATGTGTATTATATTGTAAATATTTAGATATATATATATATATGGGCAAACGATGCTGCAACGGTCTCCTTGCTCTTGACGCCG